AGACATGGACTCATTCAACGCGCTTTCGAAATATATATTCTACTGGCGAAATAAGAAACTTACATATTTTATGTGACACTCAAACACTCAGTTTGCATTATTGGAATAACATATGCTCTGTTACTCCCCAGCCTTTTCGTCGTATATTAAAATCAGATGGAAAGTGCTTTGGAAAGCGCAAATATTGCCTTAGAATCTTTTTAATATGCAAATGTTTGCACAGTGTCGCGAGAATCTCAATGACGTTTTGCTCAAATCTCCAAAAAACAACTGATATTCGAAGCCCTTTTTCGCCCCTCATGCATGCTTCTACGAATCATAGGGGCTTTAAACTCGCTATGGAATAGTTTGATCATACTCAATTTTATATTTTCTAAACTTGTTTAAGGTCGTAGCAAAGGGCGTATCTGGTGTTGTAAAATGGTTCAATGTGAAGAACGGCTACGGATTCATCAATCGAACCGACACCAACGAAGACATATTTGTCCATCAAACAGCTATTACCAACAATAATCCCAACAAGTTCCTTCGCAGCCTCGGAGATGGCGAAGAGGTAATTTCACAAAATTGCTCAGCAACGATTGTTTACATAGTTCATAATAACATGTTAGGTAAGATTCGATGTTGTCGAGGGTGCGAAAGGACCAGAGGCCTCCAATGTTACTGCCAAGGATGGTGGGCCAGTACAAGGATCTAAGGTCTGCTTTGATTCTTCATTCTTATTTTTTTCACTACTCCTTTTCTCAGAATTGGCCTTAATATTTCTGAACAGGTTGTGAGTAAGAGTCAAGCAGAGAATAAGTAATGCCCACAAATGTTGCTTATGCGTAATAGAATGTTTGAAAATTGCGTTATAGATTTGATAGGTATGGATTGAATGGTTTAGAGATTGGAACTACATCTATATTTTTTGTTTTCATTTGAAAATCACCATTTCGTTCGATGCTGAGTTTTTTGCAGTACGCTGCTGACCGCAATTCTGAACGCGGAGGACGTCGATTCAGGCGCCGCAATTTCTACCGTGGCGGCCGTCGTGGAGGACAGTCCGGAGGAGAAGGTGCAGATGCGGATGGCGGCAATGAGCATGATGGAGACCGGCCAGAAGAGGTGATGAAGCTTACCACTTTTTTGAACATTTGGTTCATGGACTTCCAAATTATGCGTAGGAGATCGTTTAGCTTCGTTTTTTTGTTATAATGTTCACAAACACTTAGTAGATCCATAAAGGGCAAGATTAACATCGACAGAGGTTGCTTTTATTTTTATCTTGTTTATGTCGAACGCAGTTTAACCAGTTAAGTGCGTCACTTGAAAAATGGATTAATGCTTTCGCGTTTCATTTTTGCTTCGATGTGTAAGAAAAAGAAATCATTTTTTT